TGTGTGGAGGAGGGTGAGAATGGAGGAGGGGGTGTGTGAGTGTGAGAGAGGGAACTGGCAGATTGAGAGGGAGAGACAGCTATTGTCTGGTACCTGATAAGACACCTGAAAACGCGCCCAATAAAGCACCTGACTAATCACCTGATGCTTGAAGCGACCAGCGAGAGTTGCATGCTGCTGCATGCCCTCATGCCAGCCCACCATCCAATGCACTTTCGGAATCCCCCCAACTGCAGCTCCTGAAACAGCTCCTGATCAAGAACCTGAAGCTGGAATGTGTGTTGGCACCTCTTCCCACTGCCCCATCGCACCTTCCCCAGGCACTTTCCCCTGTAACACCTCCTCTATGACAGCAACACTCTTCACACCCAACGCCTCTGCCATCGGCAAAGCGGTAGCCATCGGCAGGTGAAGCAGGTCAAGCAGCAGCAGTGACATGCACTTGCCCTTCATACGACTTTCCAGGTTAGGATGCAGCATAACCACAGTGTTACCGTGCCACCATGTTACTACCATCACTATACATTGACACGTCACTGGTGCTCCCTTTCTGTCATGCACACAGCCGACCTTACTGCAGCTATCCAGGAGGTAATACAACCCTCCCCACTCTACAACCACCAATGGGGCCTGGAGGCTTTTGGTTCCACACTGTAGCATTTGCAGCGAAAGCAGGTGCAGCAAGCAAGGCAGTGGTCAAGAAGAGCCACTGCATCGTCCCTTTAGAAGCTGAGTGCTGCAGTGGGAGGATGATGGAGGGAGGTGCAGTTAGAGCAGCAAGGAGGGAAGCAGATAGAGTGGTGGCTTGGCCAATGGAGTGGAGTTCGGGGAAGCAGAGTGGTGGCATAGCAAGCAAGGTTGACGGCAATATTGAGGGCCATGTTGGACCTTTCTCCTGCACACAGCCTCCCCCAGCCTCACATCAATCCGCAAGGGACTGTTTATAAAGCGATTCAAAAGTCGTCGGCTATACCGAGGGCCGTGTTGAACCATTCGCCCGCGCACAGCCTCCCCCAACCTCATATAGCTCCGCAGGGAAGCAGCACCGTCGTCGCCCCAGCCCCGGAGATACGCTGCCTCTCACCCCCAGTTCCGCACTCTTCACTTCAATCAATGCTCAGATGCGTCACTTTTTGCAATTAGGGAGGGGGGAGGGGGAGGGTGGAAAGGGGGGGGAAGGGGGAAGGCAACACAGCGGAGCAGGAGAAAAAAAAAAAGAGGTGAAATGAGGTGGGAGTGCGTGGGTGCGTGGATTAGCTGATGGAGAGGGAGGAGTGTTCGTTCTGTGGCACCTGATCAAGTGCCTGATGCTGGAAACGGCCACCAGGAGCTTTAACAGTTGCATGCCCTCATGCCGTCCCACTAGCCAATGTGACAACGATTTTGTCAGTGCACGTTGGCACCTCCCCCTTTCGAACCTCCCCCATTCGTGTCTCGCCCAGCCCGACCTACCCTTATTGCATCACACCTCACTATCTTGCACCTGCCTCCATCACAGCTGCACTCTCTGTTCCTAGTGCCCCTGCCATTTATTCACTCCAAACTTGAGTTACCATGTCACCATGCTATCACTATACCCCCCACAACCACCATCAACGCTAAGACCATCCAGTGATTATTCACTCGTTCTGCCTGACTATCACAGCGCACAGTCTTTTCCCTTTTTCAACCAGGAGGTTTTGCCTTACACGGATCAGAATCCGTTTGGGCCCATGGCACCTCCAGTTTCACGCGCTCCCTTAAATCCCTTCGAGCTTTCTTACCTGATCAAACATTCGTTTCCTTCTGCGCCAACGTCGTCCGACTTTTCTGTCATTTCTGCCCCTTCTGCCCTTTCTGCCCTTTCTGCCCCTTCTGCCCCTCCTGCCCCTCCTGCCGCTCCTGCCCCTTCTGCCCCTTCTGCCAGCTCTGCACCTATGCACTGGGATCAAGCTTCTCACAGCAAGTTTTTTGACCCATCGGTAGCATCACCAGTAGCGACTTGAGCAGATTCATTGGTAGCAGCTGCAGCAGCACTATCACTAATGAGAATATGGGTTTTTTTTTTCCACCACAAGGTTAAGAGGCAAGGTAGAAGCAAGCGCTGGACCTTTCTAATCAGCTGTAGTACTGGCAGTAACAGTAGCAGCTGTTGTTGCAGCAACTCCCCTCGAATGCCTAGTGTGTTGTGGAGGGGAGGGTGATTGAGAAGGGCAGATTGGTTGGCAGGGAGAGAGGCAGACAAGTCTAATACGATTAGTGGATTGGCGGGAATCAGAGTCCTGGCAGAAAGGGAACAGAGTTCCATGGGAGAGAGGGGTTTGATGGAAAGGAGGGGTTCGATGGGATTGTGGCAGTAGAGTAAGACGAGTTTGACAGAGGAAAGAGGAAGGGTTGGAGGGAGAAGAGGGGGAGAAGGAGTGGGATTGGGTGAAGAGGGTGTGGCAGGGAGGGGGGGGAGTTGAGTGGGCAGGCAGTGTGCTGTGTGTGCATGGATTGGCCGCATTCACCCGGCCAGAGGCTGTGTTGCACGTGCGCTCAAGAGGTTAGGGACATGCGTGGCAAACACCCTTTGCAATAGGAAAGTCCACTATTTGCTCAAACTACGGTATTACAGCCCATACGAAATCCATGGTGTCAAGAGTTGTGGGAGGAAGCGACTACACAACGGCATGTTCATCTGAGACTTGTCCTCACAAAGGACATGTGGGAGGTGCGCAGCCAAGTGAAGCACACATCATTACCGTAGTTTCATAAACTGGATGACGATTTTTCAGCACTCAGGACCTATCCACAATAAGACCCAAGCACCGTGCAGATGGTAACATTAGGAAGGTCCCCTGAAGCACTTGTTGCTGTCTACCAGTCTTGCATTCCAACCTTCTCTAGGCATGGAAGGGCCCTCAAGCACTCGATGGCTTGCCAATAGTAATTTTGAAAATAACTCCTCAACCAGACGGTTTTGAGGGATTTGAAGTGTTTCAGGTGCACCATGCCCTGATGCGTGATGTCCCGTGGCAGGCTGAGCCATGTCAGCTTGGACAGAGACCCAAGATGGGCTAACCCATCATCCCTGACATTCAGCGTACCAATATCCAGTGCTTCAAGGCTCGTCAGCTTCCCCCCGTGCACCATGCCAGCTGATGAAAGAGGATTTGTGGCATGGTATGAGCGATTTTGGTCACGTAAAAGGAGGACTTTAAGGGACCCAAGGCCTGTCAAATGGGAAAGCCCAGCATATGTAACCTGTGTATCGATCAGTTCGAGCCGAAGAAGCGCCGTCAGATTGCTGATTCCCTGAATCACTGAATCATGAAATTTGGTGGATTCAAGTTTCAGCTCCTTCAGCCATGTCATGGTGTAGAGGTTTCTCAAGGCCGCTACGTTAACAATATAGGAGATCTTGAGGCTCCTTAGGGACGTCAAGTAAGGGAGGTGAGAAAATCCAAGGTCACTAATTTGTCCATCGTTAATGGTCAGCTCCATCACCTTTGTGTTCGCATGAGCATGAATAATCTTCACATCTGCAGGCGTCGGTAACCCGTTCGACGATCGTTGCTTTGAAGTCAAATAAATAGCCTGGATATATGTACCTTCAAATTAGCATCGCAAACAAAAAACATGCGAATGTTCAACACAAAGAACAGAAACCAAACTTCTCACCTCCCAGACCTTCTTCGTTTCCTCCTTTTGCTGCTCCAACGTCTGTACTGCCTGCGTCGATTGTGCTACTAATGTAGACATAAGTGATTGCGTCTCCTTGTTTGAAACCCGAATTTCATCCTGAGCAACTTTGCCAGTTGTTGACTGACACAAAGCCCGAGAAACCGCCTGAATAGCACATCGTGAGATATTGGTAGGACCGCGGTGAGTATAAATCAGTATAATTCACGTTATGATGAAACGCTTGAAGCGACTGTTCAGCTCACCTCCCAAATCTTGCACGTTTCTTCCTTTTGAAGCGAGAGCAATTACTCTGCCTGCGAGAGACGAGCCGTCAGTGCAGCCACCTCCTTTTCCTTTTCCTCCCTTGCAGCCCTCTCAGCTGCTAACTCATTCTTGAGTTCGCTTATGTTGTTGATGTTCTCTTTCAGAAGTTTCTCCAGACTTCCCACTCTATTTGTCAGCATGATTGGGCTCTTTGTGGTTTCCGAAGAGTTCCTTTGTCGCTGTTCCGCCTCCAACTCCCTCTTTGCATCCTCGAATACAACGACTAACTTTGTCCCTACACTCACAATCCCCTCCAGAAGCCTTGCTATCGCCGTCAACATCGTGAACTCGGCTGCGCTGTTGACAAGGGAAAGAGCCGACGAGCTTGGTGAGGATGATGTTCAGTAAAAACGATAGCTTTCCACGATAAAATTAGATTCTGACGCTATAAGTTATTTCTCGACGTCGGACGTCGGTGAAACTTTGCCCGAGAGGCGCGACGAAGCTGAACCTGGTTCCGCAAGAGCAGCAACCACTCCAAATTCCCGCCGTGCGAACTTTACGACCAGCGCACATTATTCTTCGCGCTGGGAGTACGACGCGTCTCGCCAGATTCGTCATTTTTCGCTCCTCCTCGGGCGAGAGGATGGCATAAACAAGGCGTAAATAAGGCGTGAAGAAGGCGAAAATACGGTAAGGCGTGAAGAAGGCGTGGATTAGGCGTGAACCTGGCAGCGTGTTCCCCGCTGCTCGTCAACATGTGTGGGGGACAAAACCTTGTTATAATCAGTGAGTGGAATGTCTCTATAGGATTGCACATTGCGACTTGATATCTAGGTTTCGGTACAATCAATCCACTGATTTCTTGCTATCAACCACCAAGAATGTGAACATTCTAGGAATTTAGCAATTGATACACCTCAGAACCACGGAAAAACACTAACTGATACCAGTAGATGTGAGAACACATTGGCTTCGGCAATTAGATGTTGCTTGCTTCACCACCACCCAAACCAGCAGCTTCAGCTATTCAGCCAGCCCGTGGCAAGGGCCTGAAATCTCCGTCAGTGGCGGCAGGGGGCAACCTGGTCTCACATTCCCTCTTGCTTCACCATCCCCCCTCCCATCGCCCCTCCCATCCCCCCACCAGAATTGTTCCCCCCAGCTTCAGCTATCCAGCCAGCCCCCAGCAGGAGTCTAAAAATGGCGTCGGTGGTGTCAGGGGGCAGGCGGAAGAGTCGATGCACCGCTGCTCGTGAGATGGTGCCTCCTGAGAGGGCTGCCTGCTGCAAAATAACCTGTTGAGATGGGGGAGAGGGGAACGGGGGATGTAGGGAGAAAACGCAAGGAACATGCCACCAGTGGTGGCAGAGGGCAGGCGGAAGAGTCGGTGCACTGCTGCTCGTGAGATGGTCCCCCCTGAGAAGACTGCCTGCTGCAAAATAACCTGTTGAGATGGGCAGCATGGAAGAAAGGGATGGAAGGAAAGAGGAAGGGTACATGACGTGAGTGGTGGCAGGGGGCAAGTGGAAGAGTCGGTGCACTGCTGCGCGTGAGATGGCTCTCCCTGAGACGGCTGCTTGCAGTAAGATGACCTGATTGGATGGGAAATGAGGGGAGAGAGGGGAGGGAGGGGAAGGGTGAGGCAAAGGCCAGGGAAAATGGTGGGGGCAGGCGGAACAGCCTGTGCACTGCTGCTCGCGACATGGCCCCCATTAAGAGGGCTGTTTGCTGCGAAATGACCTGATGACTATGGGAAATGGGGGGAGAGGGGAGGGGAGAGGGTGAGGCAAAAGACAGGGCAAAAGCCGTCAGTGGTGGCAGGAGGCAGGTGGAAGAGTTGGTGCACCGCTGCTCGTGAGATGTCCCCCTCCTGACAGTGCTGCTTTTGAGGTTTGAGGCGCCTAAAGAATCGATGCTCGTGAGATGACTCCCCAACCCCCCCCCCCCCCCCCCCCCCCCCTCTCCCTCACAGTGCTGCTTGCTGTAGGATGACCTGATGGGATGAGAAATGGGGTGGTGTGTGGTGCGTAATGTGGCAGGGCACATGGTGTCAGTGGTGGCAGGGGGCAGGCGGAGGAGTCGGTGCAGGCAAACGCCAGGAGGCATGCAATCGCAGGAGGTATACGTCGGTAGGTAGGTAGGTCTTTTTTGAGGTCCGGATTCCGAGTTTTCCAAACAACTTTGAGACGTCTCAAAAGGAGGGGGTGGGGCAAATGCCAGGAGGCATGCAATGTAGGAGGCAGGTCGGTAGGTAGATCTTTAGAGGCCAGGATTCTTGAAAACAGGTGGCCTGGATCTTTAGAGGCCTGGATTCTTGAAAACAGGTGGCCTGGATCTTTAGAGGCCTGGATTCAGTGTTCCTCGAAAACTGTCTTCACCAAGCTCACCTGTTTTCTTGAACCTACTCAGTAGGCTCATCATACCCTTACAGTTAGAGATAGACCCATTCTTCCCTTTACAAACTACTTAGAAAGACCACATGTAGGAACAGGCTAGTCTACGCTCTGTACTTTGTACTGCCCTAAACTTTTTTTTTTTTTTAGAGTGCATCATTGAGCCTACTTAGCCGGCTCGTCATACACCTGCTATAAAAATCTCACCTGCTTGGCCAGGAGGTAGTGTGCTGGCAGCAGGCGCATGTGCGTGCACAGCTCACGCTCCTGAGCGCACGGCATGGTTTGGCATTTGCATTGTTTGTCATGATCCAGAAGACACCCACATGTGGAACGACGGCAATTGGATGCATGGGTTAATGGGAGGACAAAAGGGAGGTGGTGAGGAAGGAAAGGGGTTAGGGAAAAGCCACGGACTGAACAGAAGGGAACAGGAGTCAGCAAATGAGAGTCAACACAAGCAGAGACAGTTTGGAGGCAGAGAAGCAACACAACAGAGGTATGAAAGCAGCACAAAAGGGAAGAGCCTTGGCATGACATTTTAGTATAAAGCATGTAGATGGTTGGCAAATCCCCACCCTTATAATCTCACCTTGTATTGAACTGGGTGAAATTGTACAAGAACGAGATACTATTGGAGAGGGAAATAACAGAGACCTCTCACCTTGGCTGATAGAAGGTCGCGTCCTGGGTGGGAGGAGATGTCAAGAGCAGCAGAGGCACCTCCTGATGATGCTGTGCTGATGGCTGGTGGCGCAAGTGGCAAAAGAACAAAGAGAGTGCGGGGAAAAGTGGCAGAGGGTTGAAGAACGAGCGGGATACTGGAGCAAGGAAAAAGGAGCATGAGGTGATGGGGAGAAGGGACCTCTTGCTGATGGTGCTGTGCTGGTTGCTGTGAGTGCAACTGGCGAAGAAGGAAAGGGAGGGGAGAAAACACGAGCTTGGTAACAGTAAAAGAAAATGTAACAAGAGGTGGTGGAAAGGCACATGTTGGCAGCAGCAGCATCAGCGGGGTTGCAGCAGCGGGGTTGCAGAAACAGGGTTTTCCTTGTAGCACTGATTGAAATGCATCTGTTCGTGCTAGCTAGTTTTCACACACCCGTGGCGGAGGGTGCATACCCCACCTGTGGCGGAGGGTGCCCCACCTGTGGCGTAGGGTGCATACCCCACCTGTGGCGGAGGGTGGAAGGCACGCGATGGCGGCAGCAGCAGCAACGGGGTTGTCCTTGTAATGCGCCTGGATGAACCGACGACCCTCCGCCAGTGACTTGCACCCTGCTGCTCTGAGTTCCTGTCATGGACGGGAAGGGCGGGCGGAGAAGAACAGGAAATGCAGCAGCAGAAAGAACATCATCAGCAGAAGAAGCAGCAGCGGCGGCGGCAGCAGCAGCAACAGCAGCGGGGTTGTCCTTGTAGTGAGCCTGGATAAATCGATGGCCCTCCGCCAGTAACTTGCACCCCGCTGCTCTCAACTCCTGGAAAGGGGATGTGATGGTGGGGGAGGGGAGGAAATGGGAGGGGATGGGAGGAGATAGAGTACAATACAACTCTTTAAGGCACCTCGTACAATCTTAGAGAACTACACAATCTCTCTGGTTTTTTTGAGAATTCTCAAAAGTACCCTGCAACAGGAGAGAGAGTACAATCCAACCCTTTGAGGCACCCCTTTAAGGCACCTCGAACTACACAATCTCTCTGGTTGACACCCTCCAACCAACCACCCCCCAAGAAGGCCACTCTCACCTACAATACAACTACTCTGTCTCACAGCCTCTGTGCCTGGGTCAAACTCTGCACCAGCCCCACTCTGCACCAGCCCCACTCTGTACCAGCCCCACTTTGCACCAGCCCCACTCTGCAACAGCCCCACTCTGCACCAGCCCCACTCTGCACCAGCGGCTCTCACCTGCAGCACAACCACTCTGTCTCGCAGTCGCTGTGCTTGCATCAGACTCTGCACCAGCCCCTCGTGTTCCTCAGCACTCACAACCCTACATTCTCCCTGGATCGAGTCCCAGAGCACTGAACCCTTCATCACCACCTCACCTGCAGCACGGCCACTCTGTCTCGCAGCCTCTACGCCTGAGTCAAACTCTGCACCAACCCCTCGTGCTCCTCTGCACTGAGAAACCTCGCAAACACGCGGCACCGCAGAAACATCTCCCGTTCCTCCTTCGACCTCCTCCTCTCCCCACCGCCTCCTCGCTTCCCTCCGCGCTTCCCTCCTCCTTCCCCCTTCTCCACCCCACTCTCTCCCGCTTCTGCCCCCACCTCCCCCAGAGTTCCCCCTTCCCTCTCCCCTCCCTGTTCCGCACCATCCTCTCTCTTGTGTTGTTCATCTGTCCTGTCCCGATCCCTGACTCTTCCCCTGCTGCCGGTGGTGGATTCGGGTCGGATCGTTCCGTCCACTCTTCTCGGGTCCAGCAGACCTCGTTCTAGGATGAAGGCCTTGCGCCTGGACCGCTCTTCTAACCTGGAGCAGAGAGAAAGACGGGGGAGGGGGAGAGGAGAGGAGGAACCGTTCCTGCCTTCATCTGTCCCAGTCCCTGACTCTCTCCCTACTGCCGGAGGTGGATTCGGGTCGGATAGTTTCGTCCACTCTTCTCCGGTCGAGCAAACCACGCTCCAGGATAAAGGCCTTGTGCCGGGACCGCTCTTCCAGCCTGAAGGGGAGAGGGGAAAGCGAGAGGGTGGGGAGGAGCGTTACATCGGGTCCAGCAGACCACGCTCAAGGATGAAGGCCTTGCGCCGAGACCGCTCTTCCAGCCTTTAAGGGAGAGGGGTGGGGGGAGGGGGGGAAGCTTTATAAGTAACCGTTCTTCTCGGGTCCAGCAGACCACGCTTTAGGATGAAGGCCTTGCGCCGTGACCGCTCTTCCAGCCTGAAGGGGAGAGGGGTGGCGGGAGAGGGGAGAGGGGAGGAGTCTCAGAATCCCAACCACTAGACCATTGGGATAAAAAGGCTTGTTTCAGTAGCGGGTCAGTGCGCCCATAACCCCCCAGGCAAACGTGCCTGTAACCCTTCCCTAGGATCGATCGGGGATCACCAGTGGACCTCTGACACCCCCCCGCACTGGGATGCCCGAAGTGCATACACCGGGATTCGAACCCGAAACCTTCGCTCTGATACCATCTCAGAATCCCAACCACTAGACCATTGGGATAAAAGGGCTTATTTCAGTAGCGGGTCAGTGCGCCCATAACCCCCCAGGCAAACGTGCCTGTAACCCTTCCCTAGGATCGATCGGGGATCACCAGTGGACCTCTGACAAGGAGCAGGAAGGAAATGTAGTGGAATGATGCTGCGCAAGTGACGACTCTTCTCAAGTCTAGCAGGCCACGTCTCAAGACGAAGGCCTTGCGCCGAGACCACTCTTCCAGCCTTTAGGGGAGAGGAAGAAGGGGACGAGACGAAAGGGGGAGATAACATTGTGTGAGTGAAATTGGTTCCTCGGGTCTAGAAAGCCACTCTCCAGAATTAAGGCCTTGCGCCGGGACCGCTCTTCCAGCCTGTACAACAGAAGGGTGGAGGGTGTCGAAGAGAAAAGGCCCCGCCCTTGCTTGGGCAAAGTCGACCATGCATTTCGGAACAAGACGGTGTTCGTTTCGTGGTCATCGGCGACTTCGGGGACTTTTATATGTGTGCGACGAGTCGTTTGTCGACGAGATTAATTGGTCGAGGTAGAAGTGTTTCCTCTGCTCGATCAAAGTCCTCGTCTAGAAGGAGCTCGTCGACGGGAGTAAAACGGCGTCAAAGACGACCTTTCTGATAAACGGAATTGGCAGAATTGGTCTTTCGACGGATTCCTGGTCGACAGAATTTATTTCAACGAGTGTTTCGTCGAGCAGATCGATTCTGGTCGACCAGAATTACTTAGCTCCAAAATTTGCAATGTGCGCGAATTTCACCCAATCTTGGAACAACAAATTTCGACCAATCAGGTAATTTCGGAAATTGTACTCCCCAGGAGAATTCGATTCAGTAAGGAAACTGAACATGAAACACGTTTTTACTAACAGTAAAAACGTGCACAACTATGAACGTTGTAAACCTGAGCAACTACCAACTCAGGTGAAATATGCATGTGTTCATTGTTTCACCTGCCGTTGCTGATTCGACAGATTCAAGTGCTTGTCAAGGAACGTTTCTACAGGGTTCGTTGTCTTTGCTATTTGATTCTCTTTGCTTGTACCATAATCTTGTCCTATGAACTTTTGCTAGTGGAACTATGCTTGAATTCTACCAAGACAACTAAGTCTACTTCTGAGAATCACTGCCACGGTTTCTGACCGTGTGTCCCATGCTATTCAAGCTCTCCCGTAGAATAGTATTCTCCGCATGGTGCGGTAAGCGTGGACGGCCCCGCGTTAGAACCTTCACATAGCCGACTTCTGCGTTCATTACCTAAGTTGTTGTTAGGCCGGCAGTCGTCTTAGTCGCCATGGTCGACCCCATCGTTGAAACGGGCGTAGAAGATACCCTGGAGGCGAGAGAGGCTGGTGTTCGGGCACGCCACGAGGCTGGCGGGTACGACGAGGCGGACTTGGAGATTCTGGTCCTTGGAACTCGTGCGCAGTGGGCGCGTGAGCATCCTCCTCTCCGTGCAAAAGCGGATGGCTCGTCCGCCTCTCCCTGACACGTGCACAACGAAGGCGATGGCGGAAATGTTGTTGGCGGTGGAAGCACGAGGGTTCGTGGAGTGATTTGGCCCGCCGATGTCAGAGTTGGCGGAGTGCAGGCACAAGTGCTGCGATCATTTGCGACTGGAGGCAGCTCGAACGACAAAGTCGGTCCTTTGCGGAGTGAAGTCAGGCCGACTTCGGCGACTCATGCGTCGGTTGGTCGAGACGGAGGCATCGCGTCGGCGTATGGATATTTTAAATTTCGGCCGGACAAGATCGCCGTGCTGAAGCTGCTGGAAGGTCGACACGACTTGATCACGTGGATTGAATCCATTGAGCCTCTGTTGGAGATTGCCGGATTGAAGAAGTTCGTCGACGGAACTGTTCTGGCGCCGGACGAGGAGGATGTGGAGCTCTGGTCGGAATTTCGCGCTGCTCATCTTCTGACATTTATGGTTATTTCGAGGTGTTGCTCGCCTCTGGTGCAGGTCGTATTGAAGTCGTGCAGATAACGGGTGGATGCTGGCTACCAAGCGTGGCAGTACATCATGCGCACCTACAAAGCGACCGACGACCTCTACATCAGTCAACTGGAGAAGAAGTTGACCAACCAAACCCCACTCACGCTCTACTTACCAGCCAGCAAAATTCCAGTCGTCATTTCTAGTTGACATTCCCGCTTCCTAACGGCAGAACTCTTTCCGATTCCTACCTACTTCTCCTTCTAGTGTCTACTCCACATCGCACCCCAATCGCCGTTCAGACCTAGGAAAAGTCTACGAAAGTCTTAGTGAGAATAGGGAACACCTTCCCAATCTTGAGCACGACCTTTTTTTCACCCTGCCCAGGATAGTTTTTTCCTGCCCGAGAAAGCGTATTACCAAATCGACCCTTGAGCGTTTAGCACATATACGTTAGCGTATATACGATACGCTTATATACGCTATACGCATATATTCCCACTAAGGCATGCAACACTGTGGTTCTCATCCTCTGGTCGCTGGGTGTGTCCCAATCACTCATCCTGCACTGCCTGCACGAGCAGCTACTGAGAGCCAGAACCACCCTCCTCGGGCTGAAGAACACGCCCTTAATTCTATGGTAAGGCTGCATTGACCCTTTCCTTCTGGTCCCTCTACTCTCTCTTTCGCGCCACTCCCCTCTCGTCCCTTTCCCCCTTACAAACCGTCTTTTCCACATCACTTGTATCTAGCACTGGGCACCTTCGTTGGTTCTTATCCTCTGATTGTTGGTTGTGCGTGTTCCAGGCACACATAATATCCTGCCTGCATCAGCATCTACTGGCAACCAGGACAACCTTTCTCAAGCTGACGATTGGCGCCCTTGATTTCATGGTAAAACGAAATCTAGTATTTCCCCAAAAAAATCTTGTTGCACCTTTCTGGAAATGTCATGGTAAAACCAGCCCATGCCATGTTGCAGGTCACTCGAGGAACCTACTTTCGCCAAGCTACTAGGTACTTAGTCGCATCTCCCTTGCGTCATTTGTGGATAATTATGAGCAAGTAATTATTTGCAACTTTAACAATATTTCTTGCCACATACTAATCATTACTGCCAAGGTGTAGAGTACCTGCCAGATTTCCAGGGTCCATAGCCATCACAAATTGTTGTTGTCTTCGTTTCACCTTCTTGGAGCCTGATATATGAATAACCCCTCCCTGGCAGGCATGTGTTTGCTGCTAAACCTGTCATGGGAGACTCAAGACCATTGAACGCAGAGCTCCGTGGATTGTCCCGTCAGATTGAAAATATGACGGCTGAGATGAACTCCAAGATGAATGGCATGATGATGCTGATGCAGGCGGTAAAGCGGCAGGTGGAGGCGGGTAGTCAGGTATTGCAGTGTGAGCTAAACCAGGGGGGAGAGTCTTACAGTGGGCTAGATGGGGAGGATGATTCCAGCATGGGGGAGAGGTGGGTGCAGGCAGAGGCACAGGAGGAAGAGGGGAATCCGCCACAATAGGTTATCTGAGCCTGTGAGCCGTTTGCTTGAAGAGATGTTGGAGGAATGCAGGCTGCATCTGAGAAAGATCAGGTGTTTGAGAGAGAGGGTGATGGTGGAATTGGGGGAGGTGGGGGAGGTGTAAGAGGAGGAAGCAGCAGCAGGTGAGGAGTGTGAGCCTTGGGATGAGCAGGAATTGGAGACGTTGATTCAGATTCTGGAAAGGGTTTTGAGGGAGAGCAGAGGGGAGCATGAGGAGGGTTCTGAAAGAATGGGAAGCACAACTGGCGTTGGTGCAGGGGATGATGAGGCACGGATGTCTAGTGGGGTGGCGTGGTCAGTTGAGGAAGAAGATAGGGCTCAGAGGGGGAATGGGGAAGGGAGGGCCGACACGGGAGGAGGTTCGGATGATATCGAGGCTGGCGTTGCTGGTGTTGGGAATGAGGTGGAGAGGATGAAGAGTGACGTGGAGAGGTTGAGAAATGAGGTGGCAGGAAGGGCGAGAGTGGAAGAGGAGAGGGTGAAAGACATCAGTAGCCTGAGAAGGGAGGTCGAGGGTCTGAAGTGTTGCTTCAGTGATGTAAGGAAATGCGTGGAAGAGCTGAGGGGTGAGATGAGGGCAGTTGTGGAGCAGAGGGAGGTGGTGGTGCTGGGAAGGTTGGATGAGTGGAAGCATGAGGTGGATGACCTGAAGCATCAGATGGGAAATTTGAGGCATCAAGGGGAAGAGGGGAGGCGTGAGGTGGAAGAGGGAAGGGTGGAAGAGGGAAGGGTGGAGGAGGCAGGGAGGATGAGGGAGTTGAGGGAGGAGGTGGATAGAGAGAAGGCAGAGGTTGCATGGAGGTTGAGTGAGTTGCAGCAACGCCTGGATGAGAGGAGGACGGAGGCAAGCACCTGTCCAGCCAGTGCAATGGATGATAAGGAGAGGGTGATTGGATTGAACGCTCGGCTGGAGAGCTTTCTGGAAGTTACAACAAGGATTGACCATGGAATTCGGGCACTGTGGGAAGTAAGTAACTGTTTTGGCACTTTTTGGCAGTACCCGTTTCATGCCCATCGTTGCTTTCAGCGGTATCCCTATTTATGGGAACTCTCATCCAGATTTATTCCACTCCACGATGCAATGCGTGTGCTTGCATGCTTTGGTAGTCACACTAGCCCCCCCCTTGAATATTTTATTCCTGACGCAATGTGAACATGTATCATGTCATCTGCGTACTATCCCTCCCAGCGCCTGCAGTTTCTCATAAGTTTGCAGTACACGGTTCTATTCTGCCTTGTTTTTTTCCCTCTGCAGGCATTTCGCAGTGTTGGGCTGTGACTGTGAGAAACTTGCTGTATTCCCCCAAGGGGTACATCAGATCGCCTCGTGCGCAAAAGCTTCCTATGGCCAAGCACAGCTGTGTGGCTTCCATTCATGCACTTGAGAATACTGCTAGTAATGGCTGGAATTGTGGAGTGTGGCTGCAGGCAGTGTAGTGAGGCGTCAAAACGGTTTCCCTGTTTGCTCAAACACTGCTAGGGGTTTGATTTTAGCACCCTCCAGTAGGCAATATAATTTTGAGAGATGTTGCTGGTAGGCTTCAATATGACAGGCTTCAAACTTGCTTGATTGCAACATTTCTAAAATGAGTGAAACGAAAAGGTGAAAAGAGCAATTGAAAAGGTGAAACTAGCTTAAAACTTCGAACAGTAACCGCAATATTTTTCTAAATAATGTTGCCCAATAGTTTGTCAAACACTATAAGTTGAATAGTTGCCTTCACTACTTCACACAGTAAAGTGGACAACCTCCAAGTGAGACATCGCCTTCTTCACATTGTCCACACTAGGTGAGTGATTCACACCAATTTTCACAAGGCTTGGAGCAGCCCTGAGACATTTCACCTCATCCCTTTCGATGTGCGACCTTAAAATGAGAGTTTTGAGACACTTCCAGTCTTTTAGATGCTGCAGACCCCGGAGAGAGATGTGCGGAGGGAGGCTGAGCCAATTCAGCATTCCCATGCTGGCGAAATAATGCAGCCCATCATCGTTTACCTGGGAGTCGTTTATATCCATGCATTGGAGACTTTTGAGCCTTTCCACGTGCACCATACCAGCTGATGAAAAGCACTTGACATATGGTAAATAGCTCCTGGAGTTGTAGTAGCAGGAGTCCTGGGGATGTATGATGAGACAATTCTGGTGAGGGTCAAAAATAGCTGGAAAACTTTTGGAACCATGGTAGGGATCAGAGGGGACGTCGGGACCAGAGAGGTCGAGGATCTGCAGAGAGCCAAGACCTGTCAGGTGAGCAAGTCCCGCATCAGTGACCTCGGTTTTAATCAGTTCAAGTCGAGTAAGCGTTGTCGGTTTTTCTAGATCCTGGACCACCGTGTTATTGGAACTTGTCGTTTGCAGTGTCAGCAGCCATGTCATGCTGGAGAGGTGCTTGATGACATCTGCGTTCACACTAGCCTTAATGGTGAGGCTTTTAAAGGACTTCATGCAAGAAATGCGATGGAAGCTGAAAGCGGAACACCCAAAGCTCAACTCCAATTTGGTCGTTTCCGCCTGGGAACGCTGTACGATGCTCCAATCCGACCTGCTTGGTGGCTGACGCGAAGTCCCTTCTGAAACCTCAAACAGTGCCTGAAAGACCACAGAATTCGGACATCACAAGGTTGTGGATAGCTATTGACGAAAGCAGCGAAAAAAACACTGCCTGAAAGACCACACAAGGAAATGTTTCGCACATTCCAATGACCACTCTCACCTCCCAAATCGACATTCTTTCTTCCTTTTGCTGGGCGAGCGAAGTCTCTGCTAGCACCAATCACAGATTCAGTGCAAACGCCTCCTTTTCCTTCTCCTCCCTTAGGGCCTGTTTACGTGCTAGCACATCCTTGAGCTCACGTATGCTGCTCTTATGCTCTTCCCTCAATCCTTTTAAACCTTCTTCCAGACGTTCCACTTTCTAAGCAAGACCCAGCTTTGCAATGTTAGATGCATCGTTCTTCTGCAGGTGTTCCGCTTCTAGCTCTTTCCTCGCATCTTCACATTTGACGGGCAACCTTGTCGCTACGCTCATAATCTCCTCCAGGAGCTTGGCAGTTGCCGACGCCATTGAATCCCAACCTAGGTTGGACTGAAAGCTATGATGATATATGATGCTGTGCTGAAATATTACGACTGGAGGTGAAAGCAAGCAGATATCACCATCACCTTGGCGACCTCCGAATACAATACTAATATTTTCCATCCCCTCTCCTCCACCATTCCTTTCCCAATGTAGGAGCGCAGTAGCAAGTCTTGCACGAAGCTAGGCATCACACTCCAAACTCGAAAGGGCGGGTCACTTTGGGTGGAAGTTAGGTACAGGACGATAACAAAAACCGACAAATCGTTTCAGTACGGTGGCTGTTCAAAATGCTCGTTCGAAGAGTTAATCGATCGCACTCAGTATTGACTTCTTCATGGGTTCAGAATGGTTTGGTAGGGTGCACAGACATTAGGCATGCTTATAGCGCGGTGGCGAATCAATACTTGCTATCATTCGACACTTGTACCGCGTCCTTAGGACGTGGTGCCTTTTAGGCAACCTTTGCCAAAGCTCTACCAGGGAACCTCTAACCGAGGTTCTACAGAGTAATTTACGGTATTTTACATTTCCAATACGTTAGAATATTTGAATTTATTTCTAAGGATCAAGTCGTTATACTTACTGTTTAAGTTGTCAGTTTGAATTTCTATCAAACGCTGAGGATGCACCATGGTAATTATTTTCATAAGCTTCCTACACGTTTTGAGAATCTTAGCCACTATACCACTGGGATAAAAGGGCTTGTTAAGTAGTGTGTCGGTGCGCCCATAACCCCCCAGGCCAGCAAGCCGGTAACCCTTCCCTAGGATCAATCAGGCATCCTCGGTGCAGGTCTTCTGACATTCACGACCAACGTCATTGGCTTGGGAGGGAATGATTTTTTAGCTTTTCCATACCATATCAAGCTTTTGCTGTTAAAATAGGAGATCAATTTCAGGACCATTGAGCTAGGTTTAGGCAAGAGGAGAGAGGTGACGAGAGAGTTGGCCAGCAAAAGAGGGTTTCACTATAGGGTTTGGAGTACAAATAGAGGCAACAAGCAAGACATTGTGGCACACCACCAAACAATTTCATATAATGACTACAATAAATATTTCTACAGGCAGTCAACAACAATATATGAAAATATAAGTCAAACGTTATTAGTTGTGGTAGGCTATAGTGAGGTGCTCCTTAGTGAGTACAACTTTGCTAGGTTTGTCATAGTTGTACTGCCTTGCTTTCCTAGTTTCATCATTCCGTTGTGCACGTTTCTTAAGATGGTATCGTTTCCTAGCCTCGCCTCACGTCGCCTAGCCTAGCCTAGCCCGTGTTCGTGCCCTCCGCGCCCTAGCGCTCTCCGCGCCCTAGCGCCCTCCGCGCCCTAGCGCCCTCCGCACCCTAGCGCCCTCCACGCCCTAGCGCCCTCTGCACCCTCCGCGCCCTAGATCCCTCTGTGCCCTCCGCGCCCTCGCGACCTCCGCAACCTCAGCGCCCTAGCGCCCTCTGCGCCCTCAGCGCCCTAGCGCCCTCCGCGTCGCGCCTCCACACCTCAGCCCGCGCACGCGCCCTCCGCGCCTTGCCTCCACCTCCGCCAGTGCCCGCACCCAACCCCGTCGCCCCAGCCCGCACCCTAGCCCGTCGCCCCAGCCAGCGCCCTAGCCCGTCGCCCCAGCCCGCGCCCTAGCCCGTCGCTCTAGCCCGCGCTCTAGCCCGCGCCCTCAGCTCGCGCCCTCAGCCCGCATCCGCGCCCTAGCCCACGCCTAAGCCGTCGCCTGCGCCTCTGCCCGCGCCCTCCACCACAGCCCACGCCCGCGCCCTAACCTGCGCCCTCACCCAGCCTAGACCCGCGCCCTCGCCCTAACCCCAGCCCGCGCCCTAGCTCGCGCCCTCTGCCTACGCCCTTCCTCAGCCACCTCCTCATGCCGTTCGTGTTTCCTGACCTTGGCTCGTTTGCAACTGTCTCCGGCCTAGCCACCCACTTGCGCTCCCTCGTAGCTAGCTACCGTGCCGCCTGCACTGAGGCTGAGCTTCTTGTTGCTCCCCCTCTTATCTGGCTCACCGTGCACTGGATAGTCACCCGCCTCCCTAGCCGCCTCTCAACTGCCCGTGACGCACTATTACAGCAGCACCCCAGCGCGCTTACGATCGATCTTCTCGAGACCATTCTCGGGAAGATCGAGGGTAACACCCTCTCTGTTGCCTCAGCCGCTGTCGAAGTCGCATTCTGTCCGTTTGACGGGTGTGCTGCTGTCAGAATCAACAAGAGTGAGAAACAGAAATGAAGAAAGGAGTGGTTGCACTAGCAGCAGTTGGCATACATATAGGGAAACCCTAATTGGGTTGTACTGGCTATAGAGTACCCCACTGCAGGCTAGACAATAATATCATTCTGACAGCTGCCCCCCAGCTTCCACCTTCACTGCAACTCGTGCCTCTGCTGATGTGTTGGTCTCTAAGGACACTGCAGCTATTTCTGCCGCTGACTGGCAAAAACAGGGCAAGGGTGGCAAGAAGGGGGGGAAGGGGGGTGGCGGCGGTGGCGAAGGAGGCGGTGGTGGAGGAGGAGCTAGGGGTGGCAGTGGTGGCGGCAGCAGAGGTCCACCGGGTGAAAGGAGCCCTGGAGGAGGTGCCGGCCAGACGGGCCCGCCAGCTGGAGTTGGTTCGACCGGCGGTGGTACGAGACCCCACGGGCAGCAGCAGCAGCAGCCATAGCAAAGATAGCAGCAGCAGCAACAGGGACAGCAGTAGCAGCAGCAGCACCAGGGACAGCAGTTTTAGCTGCAGCAGCAGCCACAGCAAAGACAGTAGCAGCAGCAGCAGGCATTGCAACAGTTTCAGCCGTGGGGACCTCCACTACAATGGGGTCCACTGCAGCACTGGGCCCCCCGTGGCAGTGGAACTTGGAGGCCCAAGGAGCACTGGTCGCATCAGCAGCACTGCCAGTTGGGGCCTTCGTCCCCCTCGCCACGACAACGGCCCTTGCGACCACTGGTGCCTCACCAGATCGGGCAGTCCCTGTGTCTGCGGCCGCGACGACCACTCTGCGGCGCGGTGCTTCCGTCGTTTATACGACCTCTACCATGCGCGTTGGGGTGCGCACGCGACGACCCCGTGCTGGGCTCGCCTGCTAGCCCGTAAGGTTCTTGTGTTTGATCTGTCCATGGATGATGCACGTCACTATGTTTTGTATGCCGATGCTGACTTAGTGTTGATGTGTGAGAGTACGACGGCTTATGCCAGCTATGCTTGCTTGC